AATGTTGGCATGTTGATACTTTTTGTCAATTTCAAATGCTGCCCCAAGAGTGCATGATACACCCTTATTGTGCAATTTGAAATTGTTGCAAGAATAAAATAGGATATTCCCAAAGCATTTAATCATAAGGAAATAAAATGGCTCTGTAGAAAAACATGCCTGAGGATACCATATTCTTAAATCAAACAGTTTTTTACATTCACCAATTCCAACAATTATGTAAAGTTTCCACTAAATCAATTCAAGTAAACTCAAGTTATGGTACAATGTGAAAAATTTACTAAAATCTGACAATTAAATTCCCACAACTCTGATGCAACAAACTGTATAAACTGCTTCGCTGAGCGCAGCTTGATACGCCCGCAGATGTCCAACCCTGAACAGTTGGGGCAAAAATGGACACAATATTCAAGCTTGATACAGGTCTGAATTTGGATTGTAATTAAATATTTGACATATTATAGGTTTCTGAATAAATGTAGTCAAAGAACTTGAAATTGGTTATATGAAGTGAATTTATATTCAACAAGAAATGATTGTAACAGGATGCTGTTACGAAGTCTCCCAAACGAAGCTCCCATAATTCCTAATTCCCAGGGTCGCCTGACATTGGGCAACGTCCAGTGAAAATTGGTTTGGTCCAGTAAAGTTATATGCATTAGTGATGCCTGGGGACTAACCTTGTATATTATTCAAATCATCTTGGCATGACAAACCAGAATATATATGGTTTAGGGGTGGGGATCTCGACCATTTACAAGATACTAGAACATTGGGGGTGGGGGGAACCCCTGGGGACTGACCCAATACGTCATTCAAATGTTCGTTACATGACGAACAGGAATATATATGGTTTAGGGGTGGGGATCTCAACCATTTACAAGATATTAGAACTTTCCCAAATGGCAGGGGGTCGGGATGACCCCTGAGGACTAATCCTGTATATCATTCAAACCATCTTCGCATGACAAACCAGAATATATATGGTTTAGGGGTGGGGATCTTGACCACTTACAAGATATTAGAACTTTCTTAAATGGCATGGGGTGGGGGTGACCCCTGGGGACTAACCCTGTATTACATTTGATGTGCTTTATCATGACAAACCAGAATATATATGGTTTAGGGGTGGGGATCTCGACCATTTACAAGATATTAGAACTTTCTCAAATGGCAAGGGGTCGGGATGACCCCTGGGGACTAACCCTGTATATCATTCAAACCATCTTAGCATGACAAACCAGAATATATATGGTTTAGGGGTGGGGATCTCGACCATTTACAAGATATTAGAACTTTCTCAAATGGCAGGGGGTCGGGATGACCCCTGGGGACTAATCCTGTATATCATTCAAACCATCTTAGCATGACAAACCAGAATATATATGGTTAAGGGGTGGGGATCTTGACCACTTCCAAGATATCAGAACTTTCTTAAATGGCAGGGGGTGGGGTGACCCCTGGGGACTAACCCTGTATTTCATTTGATGTTCTTTATCATGACAAACCAGAATATAGGGGTGGGGATCTTGACCACTTAGAAGATATAAGAACTTTCTTGAATGGCATGGGGTGGGGGTGACCCCTGGGGACTATCCCTGTCTTACATTTGATGTGCTTTATCATGACAAACCAGAATATATATGGTTTAGGGGTGGGGATCTCGACCATTTACAAGATATTAGAACTTTCTCAAATGGCAGGGGGTCGGGATGACCCCTGGGGACTAACCCTGTATATCATTCACACCATCTTAGCATGACAAACCAAAATATATATGGTTTAGGGGTGGGGATCTTGACCACTTACAAGGTATTAGAACTTTCTTAAATGGCAGGGGGTGGGGGTGACCCCTGGGGACTAACCCTTTATTTAATTTAATGGGCTTTATATCATTTAGAACATTTTCAATTAAAAAGATTGTGTCTATCACAAACGGTTTTTAATTTATAATCATTTGAAAATTTTAAAAAATAAAATCCCATAGGGTTCTATAGTAAAACCCTCTTTTCTTTTTGCCCCTCAAACTACCCCTTTATAAACCCCATTGCACAAACAAAACCCTGATTGCACCACTAGACATGTTAGTCTAACATATTGTGAAACCCTAAGTTAATCTGACAAGGGGTTTTGGAGAACGGGTGCAGACAAGTTCAAATTTAAAAGCGGCTGGAGAAGAAGAAGAAGAAGAAGAAGAAGAAGAAGAAGAAGAAGAAGAAGAAGAAGAAGAAGAAGAAGAAGAAGAAGAAGAAGAAGAAGAAGAAAAGAAGAAGAAGAAGAAGAAGAAGAAGAAGAAGAATAATAATAATAATAAGAATTGAGCAAAAACAATAAGTCTTCCCAAACTTCGTTTGGGAGACTCAATTAAAGATTTCTTGCTGTTGTGCAATACACTATGCTGTTGCACAATACTTAGTAAATCTGTTGTCAGACTATAAACAAATAAAATTTATAAAATTCTAAAGGGAGCTTACATCAATAGATATAATCAATTCACCAAAGTTTCATAAGAATTGCTGAAAGCATTTTTGAGTTATTGTCTGAAAACTGGAAAATCCCCCCTTTTTTAATGAATAAAACCCCATAACTCGGAAATGTAAAATCTAAAATTTACAAAATTCTAAAGAGAGCTTACATCAATAGATATCAACAATTCATCAAAGTTTCATGAGAACTGCTGAAAGCATTTTTGAGTTATTGTCCGAAAACTGGAAAATCCCCCTTTTTTTTATGAATAAAACCCTGTAACTTGGAAACGTAAAATCTAAAATTTATAAAAATCAAAAGGGAGCTCTTGTCAATAGATATTAACAATTAACCAAAACTTCTTGCAAGTTGGTGAAAGCATTTTTGAGTTATTGTCCGAAAACTGGAAAATCCCCCCTTTTTTAATGAATAAAACCCCATAACTCGGAAGTGTAAAATCTAAAATTTACAAAATTCTAAAGGGAGCTTACATCAATAGATATCAACAATTCATCAAAGTTTCATGAGAACTGCTAAAGCATTTTTGAGTTATTGTCCAAAAACTGGAAAATCCCCCTTTTTTTTTATGAATAAAACCCTGTAACTTGGAAACATAAAATCTAAAATTTACAAAATTCTAAAGGGAGCTTACATCAATAGATATCAACAATTCATCAAAGTTTCATGAGAACTGCTAAAGCATTTTTGAGTTATTGTCCGAAAACTGGAAAATCCCCCTTTTTTTTATGAATAAAACCCTGTAACTTGGAAACGTAAAATCTAAAATTTATAAAAATCAAAAGGGAGCTCTTGTCAATAGATATTAACAATTAACCAAAACTTCTTGCAAGTTGGTGAAAGCATTTTTGAGTTATTGTCCGAAAACTGGAAAATCCCCCCTTTTTTAATGAATAAAACCCCATAACTCGGAAGTGTAAAATCTAAAATTTACAAAATTCTAAAGGGAGCTTACATCAATAGATATCAACAATTCATCAAAGTTTCATGAGAACTGCTAAAGCATTTTTGAGTTATTGTCCAAAAACTGGAAAATCCCCCTTTTTTTTTATGAATAAAACCCTGTAACTTGGAAACATAAAATCTAAAATTTACAAAATTCTAAAGGGAGCTTACATCAATAGATATCAACAATTCATCAAAGTTTCATGAGAACTGCTAAAGCATTTTTGAGTTATTGTCCAAAAACTGGAAAATCCCCCTTTTTTTTTATGAATAAAACCCTGTAACTTGGAAACGTAAAATCTAAAATTTACAAAATTCTAAAGGGAGCTTACATCAATAGATATCAACAATTCATCAAAGTTTCATGAGAACTGCTAAAGCATTTTTGAGTTATTGTCCAAAAACTGGAAAATCACCCTTTTTTTTTATGAATAAAACCCTGTAACTTGGAAACGTAAAATCCAAAATTTATAAAAATCAAAAGGGAGCTCTTGTCAATAGATATTAACAATTAACCAAAATTTCTTGCAAGTTGGTGAAAGCATTCTTGAGTTATTGTCCGAAAACTGGAAAATCCCCCTTTTTTTAATGAATAAAACCCCATAACTTGGAAACGTAAAATCTAAAGTTTATAAAAAACGACAGGGAGCTCACGTCCATAAATATAAACAATTCACCAAAGTTTTATGCAAATTGGTTAAAGCGTTTTTGAGTTAATGTCCGATATGTTGACGACGGACCGACAGACAGACAGACAGACAGGGACAGACGGACGGACAGACGGACAGAGGTATACCATAATACGTCCCGTAAACGGGCGTAGAAAAATAAAAAGAATAAAAAGGGGCTGTGCTCACACATTGTTGTCAATACAATTTAATTTTATGTGACTATCATACAAGTGAGAGATTTAGCTATAAAACCAGGTTTAATCCACCATTATCTACATAAAGAAATGTCAAGACCAAGTCAGGAATATGACAGTTGTTTTCCATTCGTTTGATGTGTTTGAGCTTTTGATTTTGCCATTTGTTAAGGGACTTTCTGTTTGAATTTTCCTTGGAGTTCAGTATTTTTGTTATTTTACTTTTTTCATCAATCCTCAGAATTTTGTAAAGTTTGAAGGAAAACCGGAATCAGTAAGTGATTTGTGAAAAATTGCCTTAAATAGAAAAGTAAGTTCCACAAGTCAAACTGAAAAATTCAAAAATTCACAAGAGAGCTTCTTTTATTACATTCCCACAATAATGTAAAGTTTAGAGGAAATCAATTTACGAACATTGGATTAAGTGTACTATTTGTGAAAATTTGTCTTAATTCTAAGGGTCAAAGTTCAGTAGCTCTGGAATTACGAAAGCCAAAAATAAAATAATATCAAAAGGGTGCTTCCTGCCATCAATTCTAATGTTGTGTTAAAGTTATAAGATAATTGATTAAAGCAAATTTGACTTTTCATACGAAGGACAGACGATTGGATGGAGGGACGGACATTGGAATACCATAATACGTCCAGTCTTCGAATGAGGTATCAAAAGCTATGGTTAGCAAGTCTGCAATAAAAACAAAACTAGTTGTAGGTTTTCTTTATAGAAATTTTTATTAGTACGTCATCAGAGTACAACATTTATACAACATTGGCACTTTTGTTCCTTAATTTAACAACGACAAGAGATCTACAAAAATAGCTATAAATTTTACAATGATGTATAACTTATCACTCAATACACTACTAATTTAATCTAAGACTGAGTATGGCTAATTTTAAATACTGAAAAAATAAAAATAGATGTTTGTTTTCTTATTTACAAACTAAGTACATCTTATCTAACATTTAGCAAAGGGAGATAATTTTGATAAACAAATCGATTTCCAACAGCTCTTTTCTTTACTAATCTATAATAGAATGCACATTTCTAACAATGAAAATTTTGCTAATTAATAAAAGATGTATGTTTCATCTTATTGTACTCTTGAACGCTCTCCCACCATAATGTTCTTCGATGATGATTTTTTTTTTCATACCATAGAGACATATTTCTTAAACTTGCGCATAGAGTAATGAAAAAGCTTACTGTTAATCAAATTATATATCAGTTTTATTTTTGGAGATGTTAGTAATTTGATGATTTTTCCGCAATAATTATCAATTTCAATATACTTATACAAGCACAATTCATTTGATAGAATATTTACTAAATTTTACTTTGAATCAAAAAAAGAGAAGTTTTACAAACATCCATTATTTATTTGTATATTATGATTTAGTTGTGTTTATCTAAATTTTTTATCTTATTACCTAACATTTTTCTTCAAACATTTAAACTTCTTAGTTAGTTTCAGAAAAAGTTTAAAACACACAACAAATGGCTAAAAAAACAAAGAAAAAACTTAACAAAATATCTTTCTTAAGTACATAGACCAATGTAAATACAAGTGCTCTGACAAGCAATAATGTTGAATTGAATCTCAAAAGAAAGCTAAAGCATGAAGCTCGTTTGAAAAATTTCATGGTTTCAAATTTGATTTTTTAATCATACTATAAGCAATCCCTTACACAGTATAAAAAGCCTTTAAACAAATCTCACATGAATTTCAAATAATAAATTTATATAAAATAAACTTGAGTTTCACATGAAATTAAATTGTACCATATAATCTAAATTCAGTTCAATTCACATAAAATTTCAGATGAGAGCTTTCATTTCAAGCAAACAAAACTTGCCAGCCATGCATGTACATGTATCTTAAAACAGTCTTTCACAAATAAAATCTTATTTACAAGTGTTATTCTAAATAAATATCACAACTATGTCATAAAATATATATATCTATTTTGGTTAAATGTCAATTTGATGACAGAAACCCTACAACAAAGTTTTAAACAAATTAGGTCGTGAAAGACAACATTACACAGCCTTCAACAATATACATGAATGCTAATACATGTGAATACCATTTCAAATGCATTCATGCAGCTGAAAGTATATTCTATAATTAGTTTTCAAAATTCTTAATTTATATAGATTATTTTATGTAGTATGAAAAAAAAAACAAGAATTGTACACATTGTGCAATTTTCCATAAAATTAATGTTTCCAAGGGCATAACTCTTTTAAAATAATTGATCGGGACTGAATTTCGAACTCTTTCAAGATATTGCTGATATAAACCTATGATATAAGTTTCATTAAAATCTGGCAAGAATTGTAGACGTGAGAGCACTAACAAGATCGGATGAATGCCTGGTTTTTCCATGTCCCCCGCATTGCATTACGCGGGGGACAAATAAAAATATAGGTATAAACATCTGAGACAGCAACATATGCTATTCTAATGGGCAAACTGGTATAAAATTTCTTTTTGTGTTTTTGGTTGTGTTTGGCTGCTGCCTAATGAACTAGTATGTGTTTCCCACATATCTTTTTATTCATATTTACATTAAATAGATATAAGAATATGTGGTATGAGTGCCAATGAGACAACTCTCCATCCAAGTCAAAATTTATAAAAGTAAACCATTAAATCTGTTTCAATCATTTTCTTTATTATCTGTTGATAATATATATGCAGTTATTTCTATCAATCAGTAAAGCCTTTCAATTCCTATGTAGGGCCCAAGACCCTAACCCATACAACTTTGATTAGAAATTCAATGCGTTATTGTGTGAAAATTTGTTTTAACTCCACTACCTTGCCTCTCCCCATACAATTGAGGGGACTGACTGGACAACACTTCTAGATGGACAATTGTATCCATCCTATGAAGTGGACATGGTGTTTCTTTTTCTTTCAAGAAAATAATTGAACATACCATACTTTGGATATTATTGAAATAATGAAATTAGAAGGTTTTTAATTGAATTTTTTACAAAAAGTATGAAATTGAATTTAAATAGGCAGGAGTGAACTGCCCACGATGGGCAAGCAGAAATGACAGGATCCACCTAAGCTTTACTATAAATTTACAATTATCTGATTAATAAATAAAGAACACATGATATGTCAACATAAAATTTGTAGGGAATTCCCAAAAAATAAGTACAAAGACTAAAACTGTAAACTGACTTAAAAATATCACAATTATTTTATGAATATTCAGAAATTTTAAATATTAACCTATTTTTACTGATTTTAATACAAACATTAATTAATTAATGGTATCCATTGTACTACATATTTCTTAAGTATTAAATTACAGATATGTAAATAAGCAAAATAAAAACTACTAATTTTAATAACTACTATATACCATGATAAAATTGGCCATATAAATCTAACTAAGCTAAACAAAAAAGGAGTTTTCACCACCCACTTGTGTGACTAACAATTTCACAAAAAGGTTTCATATCTGTAAAAGTTTCTTGCATGAAAAATATTTAGGTTACTGAGAGAATAAATCTATGTAAGAATCAGGTCACTATTCAACTGATGGCATCAAATACTATAATAATCAGAGACAATTGGTCCAAAATATCTAAAATATACCATACATTGAGTGATTTTTTGGAAATGAAATCAATAAAAATATTGTGTGCTATCATCTTATATATCATATAAAGCTAGAACAGCCATATGTGATACATGTCAATCTGACAATGTGAAAATTACCTCCTTATAGAATATTTTAAACGTGGCCAAAAAAGAGGATCATGATGAAAATTATTAAAATTACAATTATGTCTTTTTCTACTTTCTGCAAAGATAATACTACAACTTGAGAAGTATATTTCACTGGAAATGTGTTTATAATTTGTAGTATTTCTTGAAGGAGACTGTAAAGCCTTTACAATTTTTACATCCCCTGTACACGGACATGCCTTCAACATGTTAACAATATTAAAAGATAAATTAAAATCTGGTGATCATTCAAAAATACACAAATGCTGTTTAACTCATGATTGCTATCTATGGTACCGTACTTCATATACCCATTATTATAAAGCCTATTCAGTAACATACATAATTCTATATAAACTACATATACATATGTACACAATATATAGCATATAAATGATATGATGATCACATTATACATAAACAATATCTGTACAGTCGCAGAATATCATATATTGCAAGTATATTTGGTAAGAGGATAGAAAATGTACTATATTGGATGGGTGTTTCCTATATACCCCACAAAAACATTGTTTTCAAGGGGGTATATAATGTACTGTGGATTCATAAATATTTTGTAGGTATAAATGAACCCTGACTTTAAGTGGTCAAATTTCAGAGTGCTTTGTCTGGGTATAATGTATGTGTAAAGAGTGGTAAGGGAAGATATGTGCATGGACAAATAAAATTAACATCTGGTTTCAAGGGACATAATTTTAAGGTCTGAAATGTGCACTTTTTTTTTATTTTTTCACAAAAAAATTGGTGAAAAATACCCATTTACATGAAAAACAAGTGCAAAATAAACAAAACAACAAACAAACAAAAAACGCCAAAATAATTATTGCACAAAAATTTAATACTATACTCCCTGTTTTAAATAGAACAATTCAGAAATTGCACTCTTTTCACAATGCCTCTTTTTTTATTCCAAACAATACTTACACATATATATATATACATAATATAGCACAGAAAATCAATATTATACAATTAATATACATGTATAACCCTACAACCTTTCATAATAAAACTATTATAGATTTTTAAGGAATAATTGATGTAATAGCCATTTAAATGTTTATTAATTCAGTTTTTTATTTAGAAATGTGTATAGATATTTTCTTTATCTCAAAATTTTATAAATACATGTGCATGTGTATCTATTATTTAAGACGAATACACTAAAATATGACAATAATCAAACAAATCTATCTGCTTTAAATTGAGTTCAATCCTGTCATTCTCAAGTGTAACTTTCATGGTTGTTATATGAAATAATTTAGTTAGAAATCACAAAAACTTTATAAACCAATAAAATGTGATTAAATAAATGTTGATTTCAAGGTAAACGATATTTCTGTTCACCGTGAAACTGACTAAAAGAAGATATTCCCGTAAAAACTACTGTCCCATACAAAACTCAAATCTGACTAGAATTCGTGTAAAAGAATTTTGAATTGTAATTTCACAAAACCTAACACTAATAAAAGTATATACGAATTTCATAAGTGTTTAATTGAACAGTTATGCAAACAGATAAAAACTATGCCAAAAAAGATCTTTAAATGGCTTGGTTTAAAAAAATATCCCGTATACAGATGTTCAACAATCTTAGCAAATCAAAAAAGCTTTAAATGACTAAACACATAATCTCTAATAGCAACTAAAATAAATTCATGATTATTTATATATGATTGGTTGATGAATATAAAAATAATATTTGTGACAATCTGCTTAAAAATGATAAAATGGCTTGTACATTATGAATTTTCTATCTTGTATTTACTTCATAAGCCAACAGACATGCCATTGTATTACAAATTACACAATTTGTTTTTAAAAAGTGCTTCAAACAAATCTTTCAACAAATAAGATGAATAGAGGAAAAGCTGGGGTATACATCCATGAGGCAGCAACCCAAAATAATTTATATTAACATAGCAACTAAGTCTTCAATGATAGACAGGTGTGTATACAATATATTTCAAGCACTAAATTGTCCCATGTCTATAAAGGTTGTGAACAAATTTAACAGAAACAATAGAAACTTCAGCAAAACTGCTGATTAAAAACTCTAATACGATATTGGTCAGATAAACTGTAACAATTAATAAAAAAACACAATATTTTTACCAGAAAAGAAGGTCAGTCGTAATCATGGCAACCTCATTAAATAGATATGAATAATCCTTCTCTCTAATTTCAGCAAAATGCCTTGAGTGTGTAGGTATAGGTAATATCTTTGGCTAGCTTGCTTGTTAGTTGAACCGTGAAATCAATATAAGGTTAACTATACTACCCTCCTTTCGGAGTAGTTTAGTCCTACAGACAGATAGATTGGTTATCTGTCAGACTAGTCTACTCTTAAAGGAGGGTAGTATACCTAACCTAATAATGACTTCACGGTTCAGCTAGCAAGCAAGCTAACCAAAGATATTACTTTTACCTACATACTTAAGTCATTTTGCCGTAACATAATAGGGTAGTCTCTTAGACTGCACATACTGACAAATGATCTCGAGGAGTATATGTACTTATCAACACAAATAAAAGTAGGATAAAATAAAAATGACCTTTCTTTTCATTTACACAATTATTGAATTTTATCCCAGAAATTATCATTTGTAATTCAATTGTACAAATTTCTTTTGAGATGAAACTATATAACATTTTTTTTAAATAGATGAAATTATACTCTGCTGTAAAATAACTCATGAAATGAATCAAAGGTTTGTTTCCTATTATATACATAACAATTTGCAAAGCTACAACAAAAAATAGTATGTTATTTTGAAGAAAAAAAATTAGAACAGTTTTGTTCTTTAATGTCACAAAAAAACTGACTGTCTTTTTGTAAAAATATTCAATCTATAAATACATAAGACTCTTTTTGTTTTGAGATTTCAGCCTCAACATATAATTTTACAATGCTGTCATATAAAATCTCTGCATCAAATCAGTCCTTCACTAATTTAAAGATACCATTTCATCAGTACTTTACTGGAACTCGTCATCAGATGAAAGAAGAGTTGTCTTTTCATTATGGGACCTACGGTTGGGTGGTGGTCCCCTATGTACACCTCCGGCAGGTGTCGTAGTTGACAGATTGTGTTGTCTTGTCTGTATGACATTATTGGCAGGCGACACACCGTTTTGTGTTGGCCTGTTTTGGTACTGATCACGATATGGCCATCCGTCTGCTGCTTCTTCCTCTTGTGGGATTTTACTTCCCTGTTGGGTGTATTGTGAATAATTTGGATGAAAATTATGGATTGCATCCTGCATGATGTCACGTGGATTCATTGTTTCCTTCAGACTACTAGAAATGCTCTGAAGTGACACTGTTTTGCCTTGGCTGGAGGTAGGACCAGAACTATATATAGAATGAGGGAAGGCTAACCTGAGGGCCACAGCAGCCAGTAACATCTCTATACAGATGAAGAAATTCTGGTACCCTGCTGACACTGTTCCCACTCCTGCCTTTAACAATCCATTGTCAGAGTAAATAGGACTTATAACTTGTGCTTTCTCAAGGATAGCCAGAACAACACCTGTACAAAAATAAAATAACTTTGTGACTAAAGATTCATAAATGTTTTACTATTGATTTCATTGAATGTAATATGGACATTTTTCTTAAAAATACTTTAGGTAAAACTTTATAACATACATGTTTATGTGCAATCTTTTTTCCTTGTTCAAGTAGGAAGCAAACTTTCTGGTATCTGGACTGTGCAGGCTTTTAATTGTATGTTCTACTTTTAAACATATTATCCACATAGGTAAAAGACAGTTTTCATGTAGTTACTCCATTACATTTTGTGTCAGTACCAGTTATTCTTCATTGTTGTTTATACAACTTTTTTTCCTGGAAGAGTCTAGGTTGTTTGTGGTTGGTGTGCTTTGTCAACCTCACTTATATTTCTAATGAATCCTGTTATTAATTTTTTTCTTTATCATAAACTAATGATTAATAATGGCTGATCTATTCAAACTTGCTAACAATAGGAATTTATTTTTCTATAACAGATGTTAATCTAATTGTATGATGTTGCCTACAGTCTTTAATGGAAAGAAACACAAATCTGACTAAATCAATCAAAACGTTAACTTTTTTTGCTGGTAATAAGCTTAAAATTGATGGATTGATTAGATATAAGAAGATGTGGTATGAGTGCCAATGAGACAACCCTCCATCCAAGTCAAAATTTATAAAAGTAAACCATTATAGGTCAAAGTAGGTCTTCAACACGGAGCCTTGGCTCACACCGAACAGCAAGCTATAAAGGGCCCCAAAAATTACTAGTGTAAAACCATTCAAACGGGAAAACCAACGGTCTAATCTATATAAAAAACGAGAAACAAGAAACACTTATGAACCACATCAACAAACGACAACTACTGAACATCAGATTCCTTGTTTGTTTTGTCGCCTATGGAGGACCAATACTACGGTTTTCCCTACACTGTTTGTTTCAGGGAACATTTTTATCTTATTAAAGTATTATTTAATTAAAATTATAATTAGTTCTACATGAAATCTAAAAGATAAGTTTTTAAGGTTCATCAGAAGGAATTGAAAATACATAAATTAGACCTGTATTCAAAATGATGTGTTAAGAGGGTCCAAAAGCTGTCATCACACCTCTTTACTATAAAAATTGAATGATCAGAACACTACATCCTTTATGTTTTACAACCCAATGAATCTTTTAAAAAGTATCAACAGGCACTGTCTATTCAGTATTACCAAGTACAGACATTCATACACAAAAATATTCTACTTGCATGATGTTGCCATTACAATCATTGACAGAAAGAAATCTGATTGCTACCAACTTTGCCAGACTGAATTACTCTTGCCTACTAACTTTGCAAGATGAAATATGTATGCCTATTTACTTTACAATGATTACCTACTAAAGTTGCCCATTAACTTTGCCAGGATTAAACCAGATTACCTACTAAAGTTGCCTATTTACTTTGCCAGGATTAAACCAGATTACCTACTAAAGTTGCCTAATAACTTTGCCAGGATTAAACCAGATTACCTACTAAAGTTGCCAATTAACTTTGCCAAGATTAAACCAGATTACCTACTAAAGTTGCCTATTAACTTTGCCAGGATTAAACATATTGCCTACTAAAGTTGCATGCTAACTTTGCCAGAATGAAATCAGATTGCCTACTTAAGCTGCATGTTAAAATTGTCAGAATGATATCTGATTGCCTACTTACTTTGCAAGAATTAAACCAGAATGCCTACTAAAGTCTTATACTAACCTTGCCAGAATGACAAGAAAATGACAGATTTGATCGTACAGAATTTCAGTATTGGTTCGTAAGGACTCAAGAGCTCCTTGGTACCAAAGTAAAACAGGAACAGGGCATACAGCGCCAAACTGATGGATGTGTTGTAAATCAAGGTCACATACAAATATCCTGAATCTGGTCTGAAAAATAAAGTGTTCATAATGAATCTGGGTCAGCAACTGATGTATATCTAAAAAATACATGTATAGTGTTCATGAAATTTATGCTGATGCAACACAGGCAAACTGATGGTGATTTTCTACATGAAACTTGTGTATCAATATTCTTAAATATTCTAAAGCGTTCATAGTAAAGGATTTGAAGGTATAAAATATCTGCACCTAAGTCTTCAAGATAAAGTATTCATTACATTTGTCCTCTAGCAACACATTCTTACATCTGCATGATGTATAAATGTCATCACTGAATCTGTGAAATAAAGTGATAAAAAACAATGATTCTGATGCTATATATGGTGATCACAGACAATAATTTAAGTAATTTCACGGGAAACTGTAATGTCTATCATTGTGATGTCCTTATGATCAGAAATCAGTCATCAGAGGCAATTCAACTAGATATATGATTTAAAATTTAAAATTTTATAATCTATTTATTTATATATATTAAATGGTGAAAATATACTCTAAAAATGTTTTGTTGCATATTCAGTGAACTATGACATTTGTGTGCATTCACAATTCCTGTCTTGGTTTTCTTTAGGGCTATTCCATTAAAATTTATGTGGGAGGGTAGGAAGGGACTTTCAAAATATCCCTACAACCAAGAACCATTTTTTAGATAATTTTGCATAATGGATAGACGCATACCTAAAAAAAGACCCACGACCCACATTCAATAATTAAACTTCCCTTCCTACCCTCCCACATACATTTTAATGGAATAGCCCTTATTGGTAGGTTACTGTATTTTATTAAATAGGAATTAAACTTTTGGTAAAATTTATGTTATTTCTGGTTATCAAAAGATGATAAAAGTGTAGTCAAGAAGATATGAAGTAAGAGGCTCAACTATCAAAAGAAGGACACAATTCTATAAACTAATTCTGACTAATTCAATCAAATGTTGTTTTTTTTTAGGGGTGGTAATACAGCATTTAATAAAGTATTGTCTCATTTTTTAAATCTTTTTAAAGTATTCAAATCAAATTTTTGGTTGCTGGGCCATCTGGAAAATCATAAAATCAAACGCTTAAAAAAATAAGAGTTGTAAAATAGCTATAAATCAAATTCAATCCTTAAATAATTACTTACGAGAAGTTTCCATCTTTGTACAGACTAAAGGCTTGAAGTACTAATGTGATTACAGCCATCACAGGTTTAATTACACAGAACTGTAGTGTGGCCTGAAGAAATAAACAAACAAGAGTTTGACAATAGCTTAATTTGATGATCTTAAACTTGCTTATTTTTCATACAATTTGCAAATTGTTATACAAATGTTACAGCTCACATTTAAAACTCATAAGTGCATGCTGAAAAGACTTGTCTCATTGGCAATTATACCACATCTTCTTAATTTTATATGGATAAACAAAAAAGAAAATTGTTTATTGATAGAACACCATGATATGCCCCACTCAAACTATCGCAAGTCCATATTCAGTGATCTTTTAAATTCGGGGTCAATTTGGCATAAAATTTAAAACATTCAACTATAGATGTCTATTTATTTTTTTTTGTGTTGTTTGGTTGCTGTCTCATTGATATATACCCCAAATATTCTTTTCGTCATATAAATAACTTTTTGAAAATTTGATTTATTGTACATTTCTTAATAATTTCAAACAATTTTTTCTGGGAAATGTTAAATTTATGGAATGCCATGTCTTTATTTCACCTATATCTTTGTCCACAAAAGAAATAAATCACATTTGTGTAATTTCTGGGGTTGTTTCCCCTTTTATCAATAATCTGTTGATAGCAAACAATTAAAAAAATGAGTTTTAGACTAGCACATTTGGATAAAAATCTCAGCAAAACATCTTAAACGTACTACTTGATGATTTTTTTCTTAATAATCTATATATTTCAGAGCAGACAGCAAATATGTTATTTCTTCAATTTGGTTTTTACCTTCATTTGTATCTTTTTAAGCTCTTAATGGATTTAAACATTGGTACACTATTGCTGCTTCTAATTTAGAAGACTGGCATAGACAATATAAACGGAAGAAAAATGAACATAAACTATTTCTATTTTTTAAAGTAACAATAACTTTTTTCAAAACCCTTCATCCTATATATGCGTGTACCTGTTTACAAAACCTGAGAAATCCAATGGTGTACTGCCTTCCAGACAAACAACAGGTACAGTAAAACCAACTAGATCTGAAATATAACAAAAATTATAATTAAATTACTAATCTTCTTGGTGGCAACATGTATAGTAAAAGCAATTGAATCTAAGATATACCGGTACTAAAATACAAGATACAGTCAATGGGAAGTATTAAAAGACACCGCTCCAGAGAGGTGACATTTCAATAGAGGATCTGAAAAATTCTGATTCGAACAATGCCTGTGTCCTGGATTGCAGCAAATTGTTTTTGGGTTTACAATTGGTAGAGTTATTGTCCTTGCAAGTAGTGAAATAAAAATGGCAGATTCTGGTGTAGTAAATTGGAAGTAAACTTACGAAATACGTTAATAATTGTGGAGAAATAAGTCGGTGATACGGTTTTCACTGGAAACTGAAAGGAGTTAAACTTGAGGAATTGAGGAATTCACCTTCTATTGTGTGATCTCAGTTGCACACAAGTTTCAATTCTCATTCTGACTAAGATACTGAACACACTTATTTTTTGTCATAATTATATTGGTACAAATGTAGTTCAAAACATTAGAATGACGTTTGTTAAAAGTTGAAATGACGATTTTGTGAGAAAATTGGGTAACCGTTAGAGACAGGTGACCACTAAAACAAAGTGAGCATTTATGCCGGATTGACTGTAGTACACATAAACTATTTCTGTTAATAAACACTCAGATGAAATTTTTTTAGTCACTGCTAGTTATGTTAACTTACACTGAAATACCCCTATTGGTATTAAAACTAAATACTGTAAATGCAGAAATTATTGATAGTTTTTTCTTAATGCAAATAATGCAACTGGGTCAGTTTGGCAAAAATAAGAACTTGCATTCAGATATCTGACACATATATCTGTAAGAAGATTTTTCCTAAAATCGCAATAATTAATCTCACTTTTTTGTTCATTTTTCAAAAATCACAATAATAAAAGGACACAATAATTTCTGAATTTACAGTATATTTTAAGAAAGGAGCACAAATCAGGTTATCATATCATATATCACTAGAAAATACCCGCGAAATATACTTTGGTTCATAATTTGAGGATATATAGTTTTGGTGCAAGGCGATATTAAGATCTTAAATCTTTTTGAAGCGTGTCACAGACGAAATACCACCACTCAATATGACACCCAAAAGAATAGTCTTCCCGACAGAAACTATTGGCATTTGTGATCTAATCATAGGATATGTCATTGTTATACCCTGGATGCATTGCACTGATCAAAATAATATGTGTTTATAAATACCTTTAATTGGTGACATATAGAGTGAAAACTGACTGGGATTTTTTACAAAAAAATATCCTGACCCTGATTTGGTAAAAAAAATAACCTGTCTAGCACTTCTAGCAGTTTTACCAATCCCCCAAAAAATTTAGGAAATAACTTTTGAGTACTGAACACATAAGGAAAACATTGAATGATAAAAAACCCAGGTGGGCATGACAATCCCAGCCCCATCCCATGGAAAATCAAATGGTCCGTGCCTAATACAGGATGTGAACGTGGTGTCATTATACCAACCCTCTATTGGGTGACCTCTTTGGTGCTTCTAAATGTGGAAGAGTACAAATAACCATTATCAATAAGTGGTGACAGTAACACAGCTGCACATTTGGCTGAATTGATGCGGTTCCCAGGAAGGAAAAGCTCTTGACGTGTAAAAATCTGTTGTTAAATTGCTGAAAGCGTCAAGGGAATGTGTATCACAAAGTGTTTCAGTGTAAGGTCAATATTTACCGTTTCTGCTACGAAATAATATTTAATTTTGCTGGGCAGACATGCAATCACGGAAATGATGATGGCACATAAATTTCAGAGCCGAACGTCGTGAAGGACGGTCGATCCGAACTGGTTTTTTTCCGATTTTAACCCCGAAATACAACCCAAAAGATCTTGAAATGAACACATAATAAACTACGCTGGTCATTACCTCTTTGTGGTATAAAACAATATTCGTTGATTTTATGTGAAAGAAGAAAACGCAACACCCAATTTCAACTCTATTCATTTAGTAATATAGATAACCTAAAATCACCTGGTTTCGCTGTAATTTACTGAACACTGAGTTATCACAGAGCAAAAGCTTGCACATTACTACTAGTTTAAGCTCCCCCATCCTCTACACTATACAAGTTTATGCAGAATTCTACAGATTTAACAAGTTTGTGTCATCACACTACATGAATCTCTATTTTACTTTATAGGTTTCCCTCTTATCTCTGACATAATAGAGCTCTCTCCACCAAGGTATTTATAACTTACTTTATAGGTTTCCCTCTTATCTCTGACATAATAGGGCTCTCTCCATCAAGGTATTTATAACTTACTTTATAGGTTTCCCTCTTATCTCTGACATAATAGGGCTCTCTCCACCAAGGTATTTATAACTTACTTTATAGGTTTCCCTCTTATCTGTGACATAATAGGGCTCTCTTCACCAAGGTATTTATAACTTACTTTATAGGTTTCCCTCTTATCTCTGACATAATAGGGCTCTCTCCACCAAGGTATTTATAACTTACTTTATAGGTTTCCCTCTTATCTCTGACATAATAGGGCTCTCTACACCAAGGTATTTATAACTAACTTTATAGGTTTCCCTCTTATCTCTGACATAATAGGGCTCTCTACACCAAGGCATTTATAACTTACAGTTACTTAATAGGTTTCCCCCTGATCTCCAACATAATAGAGCTCTCTCCTCCAAAGTATTTATAACTTACTAAATACTTTATAGGTTTCCCTCTTATCTCTGACATAATAGAGCTCTCTCCACCGAGGTATTTATAACTTACTTTATAGGTTTCCCTCTTATCTCTGACATAATAGGGCTCTCTCCACCAAGGTATTTATAACTTACTTTATAGGTTTCCCTCTTATCTCTGACATAATAGGGCTCTCTCCATCAAGGTATTTATAACTTACTTTATAGGTTTCCCTCTCATCTCTGACATAATAGGGCTCTCTTCACCAAGGTATTTATAACTTACTTTATAGGTTTCCCTCTTATCTCTGACATAATAGGGTTCTCTTCACCAAGGTATTTATAACTAACTTTATTGGTTTCCCTCTTATCTCTGACATAATAGGGCTCTCTCCACCAAGGTATTTATAACTTACTTTATAGGTTTCCCTCTTATCTCTGACATAATAGGGCTCTCTCCACCAAGGTATTTATAACTTACTTTATAGGTTTCCCTCTCATCTCTGACATAATAGGGCTCTCTTCACCGAGGTATTTATAACTTACTTTATAGGTTTCCCTCTTATCTCTGACATAATAGAGCTCTCTCCACCGAGGTATTTATAACTTACTTTATAGGTTTCCCTCTTATCTCTGACATAATAGGGCTCTCTCCACCAAGGTATTTATAACTTACTTTATAGGTTTCCCTCTTATCTCTGACATAATAGGGCTCTCTTCACCAAGGTATTTATAACTTACTTTATAGGTTTCCCTCTTATCTCTAGACATAATAGGGCTCTCTCCACCAAGGTATTTATAACTTACTTTATAGATTTCCCTATTATCTCTGACATAATAGAGCTCTCTCCACCGAGGTATTTATAACTTACTTTATAGGTTTCCCTCTTATCTCTGACATAATAGGGCTCTCTCCACCAAGGTATTTATAACTTACTTAATAGGTTTCCCCCTGATCTCCAACATAATAGAGCTCTCTCCTCCAAAGTATTTATAACTTACTTTATAGGTTTCCCCCTGATCTCTGACATAATAGAGCTCTCTCCACCAAGGTATTCAAAACACAGGCTAAGGAAACTGTAGATGACAAAGGCTGAAATCAAACAATGAAGGCATAAAAATAATTCAAATTTGTACAAAATCTTGTAATTGTAACCTAGCCAAATGAGATTTACCACTTCATTTATACTTCTCATGAGCAACAGGACAACATGAAGAGTGCCACATTTGGAGCAGGATCAGCTTACTCTTCCAAAGCACCCTGGTCTTTGTTTGGGCTCGTGTTGCTCTGTCTAGTTTTCTCTATATAGTATTCAGAGGTTTTTTTTCAACCTTTTTTATTTGCTTTTCCTTTTTTTGACGGTTGTTCTTTGACTTACAAGTACATGTATGAGTTTTGATTATTCCTTTGATATTTTACACCTCTTTTTCATGTATAGAAACTTGAGGATTGTGACGTCAGTTTAAGATAAATTGCTTCGCAAAGCGCAGCTGGATACAACCACAGAGGTCCAACCCTGAACAGTTGGGGCAAAAATGGACACAATATTCGTGCTTGATACAGGTCTGAATTTAGATTGTAATTAAATATTTGACACATAAAAAGTTTCTGACACAGAATAACTGTAGTCAAAGAACTTAGAATTGGTTATATGATTTTTTTATTATATATTAAATTTTTTGCTTTTGTGCAATACACTATGCTGTTGCAAATTGACCCCCCCCCCAAAAAAAATTTTTTTTTTTTATTACCCTCCCCTTTCATGCCTTTTTATTGCAAAAAAAATATTTGAAGAAATTTTCTTTATTTCTGAAATCTGAAATGAGAAAAAATTGTCCCCCCTCACAATTTCTCCCCCCCCCATTTTTTAATTTTTTTTCACCCCCCCCCCCCCTTTTCCAAAAAAAAAAAAATTCTTTCCCCTCAAAATATGGTCAAAATCTCAATTCAAATTTCCAAAGGAGTTTGCAACCATAACTACCCATTTAAATACATCATAAAAGTCTTAAAATAGAATTTTTTTTTGCCGTCGTATAAAAAATTAAAACAAATTATTATTTACAATTGTTTAATTCACATCCTGTCTGATTATTGATTACAAAATCAGTCGTGTTTCTACGAGAGGTTCATCAGGTAATTTGAATGGAGATACTACCAAATTAATAACAATACTTTGAATATGGTGTTTCTACGAGAGGTATACATCAAGAAAATGAATGTCCAGAATTACTCACAAATGAATAATAATTCTTTGATAATGAATGTGGTCTTTTTTTTTTCGATCTTGCAATATGCCTGATTGTGTGATATGCCAGGCAAATTAAAATATCAACAACAAGATTTCACATAAACCTGGATTCTATTATCATGATTATTTAAAAACTTCTAAGAGAATGTTGGCATTTGTATTTTGACATTTATACAAAATATCTTAACGCAAAAGTGGACAGCCCACTGTGAACACATGCTAAAAGCAAAACTTATATAATATGCAGTATATCTCTGTACATGCATAACTGTCAAAATACACAGAATCTAGTACCTTACCTTCATAACAGTCCCGTATACTGTCAAAGTACACGTAATAATTGTCATTACTGAAAAACAGTAAACTCAGGAATGAGTCAAATGAGTAAATTGGTACTATAAATAGAATCCTTATAATCCAACGTTGTTCATTTGGACATGTGTAATACCGCAGATGCAGGTATATCTGAAAAGAAAAAAAAAATTACAATATTGTCCTAACATATCAATCATTAATTCATCTCAGGCATTTTTTCTGAATTTGATCTGCATGAAAGGTCATAATTAAAGAGTTGAAAAACACCAAAAATAAAACCATAACCGGTTATTTAATGTTATTTAAAATTTGGACATTATAAGAGAGTATGTGTCTTGATCAAGTTGATCAAATGACTTTTGGAAGCAATATTGACCTCTGCCTATGACCTCTGTCAATACTGATGTATTAGAAATTCATATGAGTCTTTAAATGTACAATACATTTGCAATAGTCATAGCTCTTTGAGACAAGAATACTTACAAACTTATAAAAAATCATTCAAACCAAAGAAATTTTTTTGTGATTGGAATTCTTTCACATTTTACAATTAATTGCATACACAAAATGATAGCTCCCTAAATTGACAGACTAAATGTACCCTTTTAAAAAATTAGGCCAGTCTGTACATGCAGACATTAAGTCTGCTGCAGTTTACCTGTAGAAATGGTGATATAATAAGGAAGGAAACAATTTTTTTTTTTTATGGAGGGGGGGGGGGATCTCCTAGAAATTATTGACACTGAAAATCACACACTTTTCTAAATCAGAGCGATTTTCTTAGCAAGATTCAACCTTCTTATATTTTTTGTTGATAAACTTGTACATATATACGCAAACAACTTAATTTCAGTTCAACAAACCCTTAATTAACATAGGATGAGAAAAGAGCATTTGTCATTGTTCTTATTTCGCCCTGTATATCTTTACGATTATTAGAAAAGAAAAATATGATGTTACTGAGCATGATTCTCTGATTAATCTGACACGATTTGACACGTTAATGCTTTCTACATAACAGAGATTCCAAATCAGACAATCTATAGAAAAAAACATGGTTGTTTTGTTGTCGTGTTGAAGCCTTAAATTATATTGTAAGTACTGAAGACACATAAAATGAATTGACGAGATTGTCACTGGGAAATAACCATACAGAATCTAATCAATGCTATACATCTCTATGAATTCAGGAAAATAGCTGTTCTTATCTGTCCTTCTCAACTCCATATCAATACAGCATATAATTATATAGACTATTTCTTGTCACTATTTAAACTATTGATACATTAATCCTTTTTTTCCAACTTTAAAGAAATGAATTCCAAATATCGATTAGATAATGATTGTGCAGTGAAATAGTCGTTACAAGTTCATTTATGCTGTGATTCCTGGTTTTAAAAAAAGAGGAACCCAACTTTTGTTGAACAGGAATGTCTCCTGAAAATAACTGAAGTGAAATTGTGAACTAGATTTCCGGATCCTTGTTCTTATCTTCATATTTTAGCATCACATCAGTCAACGCAGCGTGAAAATCCCACACCCAGAGGTGGTCCTCAGCTGGCCCCTAAATAAAATTGTTTACTAGTTCAGTGAAAATGGACACTATTTTTCCTCAATCCATGAAAATAAATTAATCCACAACAGACCATTTTTCTTCTTTAATACTGTACTTAAACTAGTGCTTAAAATTTGGTTAGCATACAGGTTTAACCTGGGCCAAGTTTTTCCCATTTAGAAAAAAAAACATTGTAATGTCATCATTATGGAAATTCTGAATATACCTGGTTTCAGAAAAAAACTCATTAAGCATGTTAAGCTTGCAGACTTTCAAACTTCCTAATTTACTACACATTTTATATACCTAGTATTTCTGCTAGCTTTGAAAAGTACAAGTTGTGTATTTATTATTGAAGGACAGTTCCTTAGTGTGCAATATAGACTACAGAAGTGCTGCTACATTTTCTCTCAGGAAAATGCAACATTTACATGTATAATGAATTATAATATTAGAATAAGTAGATGTGGTATGATAGCCAATGAGACAACTCTCCACCAGAGACCAAATGACTTAGAAGTTTAAAACTAAAGGGCTTAGGTCACTGTATAGCCTTCAACAACGAGCAAAACCCATACTGCATAGCAAAGGCTTGTGGAATGACATATGTAAAACAATTCAAAGGAGAACACTTAATGGCCAGAATTATCTAAAAAACAATAATCAAAATTCAAATATGATGAACAGCAACTAAAGACAACCACTGTCTGAATTACAGATCACTAGAATCTGAGGGTCAGAGGGAATAATGCAGTCCTATATCAATATCATTAATTTAAGCCACTTTCTCATTAAAGCTACCTGACATCCAACTTGTTAATTTCCTGTATTTCAATCCTATGACAATTAAGAGAGATACCCAATATATATATGATATGACAAATTACTGGATCTCTATTGATGTTTTTATTATGTTTATCGATTGATGTTTATAATTACAGTATAGATGCTACAAACATGACAATGTTTTCCAATTTACACTACAGAACAAGACTATCTTTATACAGCTTCTTGTTTATCACGTTTATAAAAATTGTGATTTCATGTAAGCCTGAGTAAAAGAAGACGTTGGGTCTAGGCAATGAGACATCAACTAAATGAATAACCAAAAGACATCTCAAGAGATTGGTTATTTTGTATTATTGAACCAATTTATTATTACACCTAGTTAGACAGAGTAAAATATCATAATGTCTAAACATCTCCCCGGGGCATTAAAACAGTAACTCAGAAAGCCTTTTGGATTATTATACAATACCCAGTAACAGTTTAAATTACAGGAAAAACATTTCATACAAAAAAATTAGTGCAAAATGGTGATTAAAAACATTGATTTCAATGAATATGAGATGGCCAGCTAATTTACTTCTTTTATCTAAATTTCTGAGTACCATTGCAGTCTTTGCTTATTACAATCAGTCATGTCTGGTAAATATGACAGTTCCCTGACCCTTGGTCTAAACTAATGCAAAAATAAATGCCAGGATTTTCCAATGAGCTCAGACTTTTGAGTAAGCAGATATTTTAGTAGGTTTCCCAAGCAAGTGAGTACCATGGCTATTTTCTTCAAAATAGTTCCATAATGTACTATGCCTTTTTTCAAGTGATCAAAAACAAATTCCAAAGAATATAAACCTATCCCAAGTCAGAATCCTGTAATTCAGTGTTTGTCTTTTGTTGCTGTATATCATATTTGATTTTTGTTTATTATTTTGAACATTAATTAGTACATTGGTTTTCTCGTTTGAACTGTTTTACATTTTTTTTTTATGTTACAGCTTTTTATAGCTTTCTATGTGATATATATATATGCTTTGCTCATTGTTGAAGATGGTACAACGATCTTAACAGTTTCTGACTTCTAGGTCATTTGGTCTCTGATGAATAGCTGTCTTATTGGCAATCATGCCACATCTTCTTCTTTCTTACAAGCTGTTTATTTGTTGATGTTTAATGCAAATATCAGCAATTTTGGCTATTTCATATGACAGTCAAGTTTTAATTGGTACAGGAAGCTTGAGGGCCTTATGAGAACCACTGACATTTAGCAGTAAAACTGGCTATCTTTGTCCATTAATATCAAATTCCAGATAATTGTAATAGTCATGGAAGAACATAAAACTTAAATTTTCTGAAAAAACTTAATGTATTTGCCCAATTTTGTAGCAATTATCTGTGGGAAAACCTGAGTGTCTAAATGTCTTTTAATTATTTGAATCTTTGGGCTGCTGTCTAATTGACATATACCACATTATCTATCCAAAGTACTGTAAACCAACTTATTTTCGCGCATACTTTATTTGGCGTTAATTTCTTTCTAGCCCACTTGGCAATCATACAACATTTCCTTTTTTTTATATTTTCAGCAATATTTTTTTTGCGATCTTATTTTCTTTACATATTTAAATAAAGAAAATCCAAGTCTCACATATTTGCAACAATTCAAATTTGAGTTATTTTTCTACTCGGAAAATAAATCACTCGCAAAAATTAGTTGGTTTAGAGAAACTATATATTTATCACGTCATTCAGCTTTTTCAGGTTAAACTTGTATATTTTTCAGATGAATGAATATAAGTCTCAAATCTAAAATCTCACCAGAGCACGATTGTGTTGGAACGATACATAAAAGCTAAACCAACACCTTTTACAATGTTTGATGAAGCTTAATGACAACAACATGTTTATTTCTGCCTTTAAACTTGTTTAACATTTAAAACGTTTTTGTTATTATATATTTACGATCTAGTAACTTGTAGTTTTTGCAAATGATTGAGAATACGACTTTAATCTCCACATAGCACATGATTGTATCAGGTTGTGAGGACGATACATATTATAAGCTAAACTACTGCCTTTTTATAAAGATTAACGACTAAAGTGTACATTTCTTTAAACACGTTCAATCTATATTTGTCAGAAATATTCATATTTAATGAGTTTTTGTTATTATATAATTATAATTATACCTGTGTCTCCATAATTTGCTGTTACTGTATTAAGACAAATGGAGTTTTTTAATTTATGACATATGAAGTTAATTACTTTTTCTCACGATAAAAACCTCATAAACACATAATTAAGAATGAAAATTACTCTTGAGGATTAAACAGAACAAGGCTAAGCTGTAAAAGTACATGTAATTTCGACTGATAAAGATCAGTTAATTTTCCACTGTTTGTTATAAGAAAGTCTTACTGGTAGTAATATAGGTTATCGTTTTACAATTCAATTAAAGAACCTTTGAGAGCGCGCTCACATTAGTCACATACCCCATGGCCCCACATTGTCACTTGGCAAACAAAATCTCAACAGATTCTTAAGTTCAAAGACTCATTAATTACTCCTACAAAAGTCTGAGACAACTAATAAAAAATTCTTGTGGATATGCACATCTACATATTTTGTCCTTATTATCTATAAAGTTTCATGAAATTCTGTCGTATCATTTCAGGAGTTGCATTGGGACAAAACTTTTGCAGTAGTATATTAAGGTCAAAATTCTAAGTTCAATGGGGCATAACTCCTAGAAAAATAATTGAATCATAATTTCCTGTTGATATGCACATCTACATAGTATATGTCCTTATTATCT